TTATCGTAGACTTCATACCTCCTATTTTGAATATATGTATGATTGGAGAAGAAATTAATAGGAAACTTGCGTGTGTGGCTTTCATATGTACGTCTCTACTTAAGTTATTGCCTTCTTTGCTCACTAATACATCCAAAAAAGGCAATTTATTTTCATTTTCTAACTCAATGGCAAACTCAGTGTTCTCATCTATTCTATTTATTAGCTCAATTAATTCCCCCAAACTATTTTTGCCGTGTTGCCAAACAGCAAAGTAATAGTCCATAAAGCGAATTAATAACTTTGGAACTAGGAAAGTCTCTTAAAACACGCGAACTTCTAAATAGGTAATGTAGTAATTAGCTAAAATAGGGGCTAAACAAGATCGTATAGCCAAACCTCGTGTCTGCTTATACAATTTACCATTGAAGGCAAAATATTTATTATACATTGCAAAATTGACTAATCTAATAATTGAACCCTTGCTTAACTTTATCCCTGTTATGATTTAAGTGTTGATATAGAGTTTGTTCTAACGCCTTCATTGCCTCGTTTATTGGAATGTTAGTTTACATAAACACTACATCGAAACTTACCAGAAAATCTCCTGTTTCTCTCGTCTGATAATCAATTAACTGAATAAAATCGTAGGAGTTCTTTACTAAAAACGTCCGAATTTCGGAGATTTGCTTTAACTGAGTACATATAAATCGTGATATTTTATGCATCACTCTACCCTTATTATGTACAATAATCCTAAGTGAAGTACCTTGCATATGAATTTTTGGCATACCATACACATTTGGTGGTCTGACAGCTAATTGGAGAAGTGAGTTCATTTTCCACTTTTTCATTTCTCCACTGTTCACACATTGTTGCAGAAGTCCCTAAGTCTGAGCTTAAGGGCTTCTGTCAGTGTCATAATTATACCTTTCTATGTTGTGTCATTAGCTAATGCCCCCATCATTCTTTTTACATAATCAGTCCTACCTATAACTACTACTGCTTCTCCGTTGTCTGCCTTTAATACCAATTGTTCATTCGTCTTAAGCTTCCTAATAATAGTATCAATTGTCCTATTCTTGTATGATGTTTCCACATGGCCATCAATAAAAGGGGCAACTTATAATTCATTGTTACTCTTATTATCCTCCGGGAAACTATCCGGCTAACTTAGCAATTATATCAAAATTTCCTCTTTGAAGTCCTTACCATTTGGAAAGGCAAAGTTTAAGCTTTTTGTTGGGACCTTTTCAGTAGAAATGTCCATTGAAGTTTGGGGCAGATATACTACTTTTGGGCAACATCTTTCCTTGCTATTCAATTCATTAGATGTCAACAAACTTTGTCATATAACCTATCCGCTATACTTTGGGGTATAAAGAAGTCTTCCGAACTGAGATCCTAGGACAAGATATGCCTAAGTCTAGCCTTAGTTCTAATTAAGGAATGTAGCTTTACAATGTTTTCTTTAAGTTTAATATCAATCAAATTATGACATACGTCCGAAAGATCAGTTTTAGTCTTACAAGATAAATTGAGTCTTTAAATAATACAAAATCTAGATATAATTCTATGGGCAGAGCAAACTTTAAAACAACGAATGTGATTGACCTGCCTGGCCAACAAGTTCTTGGTTTTTATACATAATGACGAATTCTGAAAAGAATGAAAACCGTATGTACTTCAAAGATATGAAGAAAAACTGGGTTTCGAAGAATTCCTTGGTGATATATTGTGACAGGAACATTAGCTTAATTGCATAAGGAAACAGCTGTCACCGAACGCACTTCCAGTTTGGGAAGAAACTTCACTTATTTGCAAACATGTAGAGTAAGATTGGAGTAGCCACCAAATCACATGGTCCCCATTAAGATCGCAAAATCAGATGTATAAAAAGCGAGTAGGGTTTCACCCGGCCATCTTTTCTCTTGGTTTAGTATATTTTTGCTTTATTTAGTGAAGTATGGATGCTTGCTCAGATGATGTCTGTCATAGTACAGACGAAAGCTTAGCACAGTTTCATTGGGGTCGCAGGACGGTGAGCCAAGGACTTTTTTGCACAATTCAACAGTCTTCCTTACGCGGAAAACCTTCTTCGGTTTCCGGTTAGTCCAGATCACGAATTCCTTCCAACTAACTTTAACTTCGAAATGGAAATGTCACAATATATCACTTTGGAAATCTTTGAAACCCAGTTTTTCTCCATTAATTCCTATTTCGTTTGATAAAATCCTTGTAATTCAATTTTTACACGGCTTTAACCGCATTGATAGGGAAGCTGTTTAGTTCTTTTAGAAGCTTTTAGAAGCATCTAAGTATGAAAGAAATTCCCAACATTTTATATAACATCTATAATCCTCTTCTGCTTAAGGAAATTCATCTAATTTGTTATTTTTCATGTAAAATGAAATTATCCCTACCCAAATTCACAAAACTGGTGCAGGCTATGGTCTCGAGGTGGATATGTGGGCTCTTGGCGTGATCACTTACATACTGCTCTGTGGATTTCCACCCTTCCGCAGCCACGAGCGTCGCCAATCTGAATTATTCGAGCTGATCAAGCGAGGCACCTTCGAGTTTCTTCCACCATACTGGGACGCGGTCTCTTTAGGTAAATCATTCATGCAATTTAATTGGGCGTCCTGATTGTGGTCTGAGATTCTTCCAGTTCCGTTAGAACAACGACATTATGGTGCCATATATATTTGCGCTTCTGTCTCAACAGACAAAAATAGATGAACCTCACTTTTTATCTTTGCTCTACCAGAGCATATATTTGCCAAGATATTGAATTCATTAACTTTCGATTCTATATTTCACACATGCTTATTTTAAAAAGCAATAAAATATATTCTCCAACCTAGCCGAAGAAAATAAACCCAAAATTAAACGCATATCACGAAATACTCAAGATAATTTCATGTATAATTTGAAGACAATAATCAGATAAACTTATAAAACAACTAAAAAACATTCATTTGCTATAGACTCAATGACCTGATGTATTTATTTTTCGAACTTACTAGTACAATATTACAAAACTTTGTTATAAAAAATTAATTATTCATATCCGGATCTTGTAGATTTAGAAATTCTTCCGGTTAAGGCTTGATGCTAGTCGCTTGACCACAAAAAACGGGCTTGTAACACATCTGATACAAGAGACGAAGAACTGCAGGAGGTAGGAAGGTGCAAAAAGTGCCAAACTATTATCTATGTAAATCTCAACTTCAAATTAAATATTGTGCGAGGAAGTCATGAATCAAGAATGGCTCTACCATCTAGATTTGGACAACTCTATTGAAGCATTTTTTTTAAATTGTCTATCTTGTGCTAAAATAAAAGTAGTATCAGGTCCCAGAGTTCCAATTTCAAGGAGAGAGAATTTTGTCTTATCAGTTGGAAAATACAGGTTTGCTCTATTGACATGAGAGGACTGACTTGCCTTGAAAGTAATATATACCAATTAACGTGAATTATCTGGTATCGAATTCCATTAAGAGTGTTGTTGCTGTCCTGGTGAAGTCAAGATTGCATTTCAGCCCATGATTAGCTTCAATGACATTAGGAATTGCTCTGCGCAATGTCGTGCTTATAACTCAACCGTTAGGCCTTATATCACCTTAGAGGCAAGATATAATTTTAGAGACTGGCGCAAGACCAACCGGTTATTACGAAGCCTGCTCAATGTGTAAACAGAATGGTAGTCATCTTCAATCGATGCGAAGAAAAGTTGGGTTTAGAGGAGTTTCATGTTTTATAATTGTTGAGTTTTCTTCCATTTAGAGTGAAAGTATTAGGTAAAGAGATTCGAAGGTCGGTTCCACTAAAAGACGACGGCGGATTCCTCTTAACCAGCTTTACTTGAAGATTTATGCTGACACTGTTGCCGAGGTAAAAAGGTGCTAAGCTTTAGTCCGTTATATGGCGAACATCATCAGAGCAAGGTATCATCGTCACACGCAAATTCAAGCTAACGAGTCAAGAAAACTCACCGGCAAATCCATAACAAGGGGTATATATACTCTACATCTGGCCTCTTTTACCAAGTATAAAGTGATTTAGTTAGTTACGGTCGCATGCCATCTTCGATTCCTGTGAGTGTGTCTGTCTTTTTATGTGTATGGGCCTGTATGTATTCACTTATGCCGGAAACCCGCAGTGATGGCTCGAAGTAATTAGGACAGCAAAAAGGAATGTCTGTTTTTGGCCATCAAATCTGAGCAAAAGCTCAATCTTGAGGCTTCTTAATCTATCCATAAACAGCACATACTTTACCTTTGATTATACAGTTTATGAGCCGATGCGAGGCCTAGCAATGGGATCTTTCTTGGCTCTCATTTTAGCTAATAATTATATTTCAAGAATGGAGGAATACTTCATGGAAGAGGTAAGATTGACACCCAAACTGTTAGTAAGATATATGGTTTACTAATTTGTCATATGGCAGCATTGCAAGGATAGTTTAGAATATTTCTTGCTTTTAATTAAACGGATTGATTGCAACGTTAAGTTGACAATCAAGATGAAGATTAACAATAAGTTGCCCTTTTTAGATGCCTTAGTGATCAGAAGAGGAAAGAAGATAAGCAGGAATGTATATAGAAAGCCAACGCATGCTGCCTTTGTACTTAACTTCTTCTCCAATCATAGTTACAAAACAAAGGTTGGAGTTTAAAATTCGGTGATTATTCGGAGCATAAGACTAGCCAATGTAGACCATTGGGACAATGAACTGGATCGGCTTAACATAACATTTCTTGAGAATAACTATCACTTAAGCTTGATTGAAAATAACATTAGATTAATAAAGAATAGCTTTGTAAATGGTGAATATATAAGGAGAGATAAGAAGACCGTTTCTCATATTTTGTCTTTACCTTCGTGCTTTCTCTCTAAAAGAATAGGTGAACAAATAAGGAAGTGGGGAATAAAAGCGGTCTTCAGGGAAACTACGACACTTTCTTTAGTTATGCCCAATTTTAGAGAGAAAGTTGACCCATTATCCAAATCGAGCTGCTACAAAATAATATGTTCAGGTGGTCGCTTTTGTATTAAAGAGACTTGTCATCCTATTCGACAAAGGGGGGGGAGCACAGGCCAGAAACGAGACACGAGATTGAATGGTCTCAAACTTGTCGTTTTGTTTATTATGGTAAAATAACGTAAAATTAGAGAAGCCATTGAAATAAACCGAATAGGAAATACATTAAATTTAAGGAATACTGGTAAGAAGATAAGTAAAAAATATTATGGGGACCTTCGTTTCGAATAAAGGTGCATAAAGAAGAGATTCGTTGGTCGGTCTCACCAGAGGAGGATGGATGAAACTCGTTGTACTGCAGCCGGTTGGATTTTATACGATGTTCATGTTGACGCAGTCCACGAGACTTCCTTCCTCGTTTCGGGTGAAAACGTGCTGAGCTTTCGTCCATCATATGATGGACATCCTCAGAGCTGAGTATCATTCTTGTAGAAGGCTTTCGTTAACACTAGGCCAAAAAGACTATCCGGCTTTATCTTACCTCTTATATAGACTCAGTTAC